TTTGAGATACCAGTGAGGTGACAGTAATTTTTGCTGAATATCATAAATAAAAGTGCAACCCAAAAGCTATTTTTAAAGAGCCCTGGTACAGTGAAAAAGCAAACTAACTTTGAACTTTTATTAGCCACAGTGAGACACATGAAAGAAATATAGTGGTGCCTCTATGAGGAGATACTTGGGAAGCAAAGCTCTGGTTGATAAAGTCAGCTTGTGGGCAAACAGAAAGAGGTTGTGCCAGTGATGGTGGCTGTAAAGTAAGAAGGTCAGGGTGTCTGTTCCTGAAACCTCCTCCATAAGAGTCAGAGCCTAGCCCACCTGAGTGGGGCTCCACACCAAGAGGGTCTCATGGCTAGGACACCTGCGAATGGACTCTATGCACCAAGGACAAGAGAGCCCCAAGTATACTTGGTTCTGCACAAGTGAATAATCTTGGGACAGGGCCCACCTTGCTGGGAGAGAAGACAGGTCCTGCTAAGTTGGGAAACAAGGAGGTTCCTTTTCCAGGACAAGTCTTCCTCTGCCTCCCATAGCATGCCTCTACTTCTAAGAAATTGCTGACCATAAAGATGGCTCTTCTATTACTTCCCCTTCCTTTATTGAATTTGGGCATTCATTCAATAAATATTTATTAAGTGCTTGCTATGTTCCAAGTACCATTCTAGGTGCTAGGAGATCCAGTGATGAACAAAATACGCAAGGTCCCTGCTTTTATGGAGTTTACATTCTGGTAGAGGAGACAGACAAGAAACCAGTAATGAAATTAGTAAAGAACATACTTTTAGGTAGTGGTGAGTGCTGTGAAGATGTTAATAAAGGATGATGTGATGAGAGACTAGATGGCAGTTCAAACATGGCAAGAAATAGTCGCATTTCAGAAATATAACGAAGGAAGAGTCACGGGATTTACTGTTGGATTAGATGTAGCATGGGAAGGAAATAGAGGAATCAATGCTGCTAGGCTTTAGTCTGAGGATCTGGCTAGTGGCATTTCCTGAGATAAGGAAAATGTGGGGAAGACAGTGTGAGGGGAAACAAGAAGTTGATATGCACTGTGAGGTGGAGATGGTGGCTAGGCATTTGGTTATAGGAATATGGAGTTCAGGGAAGAGGTCTAGTCTCAACAGAGAGATTTTGGAGTCCAGAATGTAGGTAGTATTTAAAGCCTGAATGAGATAATCTAGGACAATGATTGGCAAACTGCGGCTCACGAGCCACATGTGGCTCGTTGGCCCCTTGAGTGTGGCTCTTCCACAAAATACTGACTTCTGCGCATGGGCCACGAAGTTTCAATCGCACTGTACATGTGCGCCTGCACGTGGTATTTTGTGGAAGAGCCACACTCAAGGGGCCAAAGAGCCGCATGTCGCTCGCCAGCCACAGTTTGCCAACCACTGATCTAGGATATGGTAGCCACTGCCACATGTGTCTATTGAGCACTTGAAATGTGGCTAGCCCAAATTGAAACGTACTATATGTTTAAAATACAACCCAGATTTCAAAGACTTAGTAAGAAAAGAATGTAAAACATTTCACTTATATTATTTTTATAATGATTACATGCTGAAATGACAATAATTTGGTTCTATTGAGTTAAATAAAATATTAAAAGTAACATCACCTGCTTCTTTTTGCTATTAGAAAATTTAAAATTACAAATTATGTGGCTCATAGTAATATTTTCATATAATGACATGGGTCTAGGAAGTGGTTGTAGATACATTAGCAGGAAGGCCCAGGTTAGAACGCTCAGGCGCTACAACATTTCAAATTTAGTGGAGGAAAAAGAGCCAGCAAAGGAGATTAAGAAGGAACAGCCAATGAGGAAAACTAGAGGAGTGCTGTTCATGATAAAGGCAAGTGATACAATTATTCAAAAGGAGGGCGTGTCCTGCTGCTATTATGTCAAATAAGTGTCGGTTGAATTTAACAAGGGCAGTTTTGGTGAGGTGGTTTGGAAGCCATTCCGTTTGGAGAGAGTGCAGGAGAATAAGTGAAGACATAAATATAGTAAGTATAGATAATTCTTGAATTTTGCTTTAAAGAGATGCAGAGAAATGGGGTGGTAACAGGAAGAGGATTTCCCATCGAGGGGAGCTCTGTGTGTTTTGTTGTAGTTGTTGGTTTGTTTGTTTAGAAGGGGAGATAGCTCAGCTGATGGTGGTGCTGTCTTCGGGGCCCCAGGAGTCCGTTGGGGAAATAAGGCAAGTGTGCAAAAAAAAAAAAAAATTGAGACAGTCTAAACTCAAGAGCTAGTTAAATGGAATGATAGTTAAATTGAATTATTCTATTAGTGCTTAGGGATTCAGATGCTGCCAAGATGCCCCCTTTCTTTGTTCTCCCTTTAGTCTTCCATACAGGGTGGGGCAAAAGTAGGTTTTTGGTTGTGAGTACGAGAAACAGTTTATTCTTGTATAAGTAATCATTAATTATTGCATTATTTTCCATATGAATAACTGCAAACCTACTTTCCCCCCACCCTATATATTTTCTCTTTGGTTGTTTTTTCCCTTTCTTTTACTCCTGACAGTGGTGGATCAAGGACAATGTTAGTCTGCTGTGGCCCAGTATTTTGGAAAACAGGCTCCTTTTTCATGTACTTCTCTAAAGCTCAGAGATAGTTTATTTCCCCAGTGTCTGAAAAGCCTTCCTTAACTCTTAACATTTGCAACAGCATGGATGAGTCTGGAGAGTATTATGCTAAGTGAAATAAGCCATTCAGAGAAAGATAACTATCATATGATCTCACTTATATGTGGAATCTAATGAACAAAATGAACTGATGAATTAAATAGATCCAGAGACACAGAATCATGGAACAGCTTAATAACTGTTAGAGGCAAGATGGGGGTGGAGGGGTGAGGGGGAGAGATTATCCAGGGAATGTATATGCATGTATGCATAACCCATGGACACAGAAAATAGTGTGCTGAAGGCCTGGGAGGGGCAGGGGCGGGGTGGAGGGGGTCAATGGGAAAAAACAAAGGGGACATCTGTAATATTTTCAACAATAAAAATAAAACATAGTTCTGAAAAAATGAAAATAAAAAGCCTTCCTTAGGGCAGGAGTGGGGTGCTGCTATATTTATTAAGATGGTACAGAAACTCACCAGTGATGGTCCAAGCAACTTTTCTGTTCTTCTTCTGAATTTCTGAGGGTGTTTCTGAATTGCCCGACGACCCCTTTGCTTCTTCCAGATGTCCAGATGGAATGTGTGTGTATGTGTGTGTATGTGTGTGTAAACTAGTGAGCACTATATAGGCCTGGGGCTTAGTCATCTTCAGGCAGAATTGTGATATTGGCTGATAGAGTTTGAGTGACTTGAACAACATCTTTCAACCAAAGTGTCAACATCTTTCAGCCAAAGCCCACCAGGAACTCACCTGTTGTTGAACAAGTTGGGTTTATTATTCATTGCAGCGAGAAATAATTCACACCATAAGACTTTTCAGTGAGAGAGTCTGAAGCCATCCTGACACCAGAGCCTCAGTCATTCTCACTGGGTGACCTTTCAAGTTCACCTTAACCTCAGAGCCTGTGATCACCTCTCTCTACTTCCAGAGGTGTATAAGGGGCTTATGGCTATAAACAGCAGCACAGATGGGTCTGGAGCCCATCCATTAAGCTGCAAGGACAGCCTGGGAGCAGAGAAGATCTGGAGAGGTGGCACTCCAGAACCTACTTAACCCCACTTGATGGCACTTGCCTCTCTACAAGCCCTCTTGTTGTGTGTATGAATACAGCACCCTTTCTCTGTTATGGTGCCCATCATATCCCCCCAAAAATCTCCCATAAAAATGTCAGCATTGATTTGTAAAAGTTTGAATATCAACTGACATGCTTCCCTAGACCTATCATTCTTAGCTTTTGCTAGAAGGCTAGATTGAGTTGAAAATTTACAATTGACTCTCAATTGTATATCTGCACTAATGGAAAAGAGCTTAAGGAAAGATAATTCTCCCACAACATGGAATCAGTAAAGGTGAAATTTTTCTTTTGATGATCACTCTGTTTCCCACTTTTGGTTGTATAAAACAATGCTGTGATAAGCATTCTTGCATGTATATTTTTGTATACAAGTGTTAGTATATTCACAGGGTAAAGTACTAGCAGTGATGATACTGAACCAAACGGTATATGGATTGAACCTGCAACCCAGGTATGTGCCTTTGACTAGGAATAGAACCCGAGATCCTGTGGTTCACAGGCCTATGCTCTAACCATTGAGCCACCGGCCAGGGCTAGATCAAATTTTTTACATTTGTCTTTTTTGGGGGGTGGGTAACAGCTTTATTGAGATATAATTCACATACTACACAATTAATCCATTTAAGGTATAAAATCAATGCATTTTAATATATTCAAAGATTTGTGTAACCATTATGACAATTAATTTTAGGACAATTTCACCACCACAAAAAGAAGCCCTGTTTGCCCTGGTTGGGTAGCTCAGTTGTATATTATACATTTTGCTGATCTGACAAAAAAATAGGTATAATTTTAACTGATTTACAACAAAATAATAATCTACCTTTTTTTTTTTTGCTACAAAGTGGCTTTAAAAAAATAAGGTACCTATACTTGTATATAAGGATTTCTGGTACCAAGAATTAACCAATCAGACCCAACCCTATTATGTGACGTGACCAATAATATGCAACTCTATTATATGACCTATATATTTATAATTCAAGACAGGGCATTCACACCGGACAGTTATTGTTGTGATTACTGCTGTAATTTTTAATTTGACAATCCAAGGGAAAAGAGGTCAGTGTCCCTGACTAGTCAGGTATAGCATGTTTTTAAAATTCTTGTGGTACACTGGTTAAAAATCGCTGCTCTAACTGAAGGATAAGGAGTAAGGTAAAATGATTATATTATGTTCTGAATATCAAATGATGATTTTTTGTGAGAAAATGCCTTTTTTTATTGTCTAAAGTTTTCAAATGATGATCTTTTGCTTTTTTACTCTTTATTTTACTTTAGTGATGATCCTACTATGGCTGCATCACTAAGGGAAGCTTCTGCCAATCTGGAAGTTATGGAGGCCAGTGATGAGGGTAAGTAACTCAATAAAATCTTGATAACTAGAACTAGATTTATTTACTATGTTTAACAACCCTAGGAAAGAAAATCAAGTCGCAAGCAAACAAGTTCATATCAAATTTCTTACATTAGGCTCAGTCCACATTTACTTTTTAGTCTTCTAACCTCTTCACTTTCATTTCCAATCTGATACTCAAAAAGTTTGCCTGAGGCCCTGCAATCTTATTTGGGGATTGTTAATAGGTTCTACTTACTAAGGCAGGGGAAGTGTTTCTGTTTAATCAGGAAAAAAATCAGAACAGCCCATGATCAGAGAGATTCAACTGAGGTTTTACTGTAGCTAGTAATCCAGATTTAACCAAGAGTAAAGGGGAGATAGAAACAAAAGATGCCACCATAGGCTTCTGTTAAATAGGATTCAATTAAAACATTTTCTTGTTGCAAAACTTAGATGTTTATCATTGCCTAAATTATGGTGCCAACTATGAGTGATGGGTGTCCATGAGTGATAGAAAGGGAGGCAAAAGTTACTAAAAAATAATAAGCTTTATTGACACTAAAAAAAGGAAAAAGAGGAATCTAATATATGAAATGAGATATTGAACTTAAAGACAAAACTGGCTTTAATAACTCAGAGTTGTTCTCAATTTTTTCTGCACTTTCTTAGTAGTATATGGTGTAGAAAGACTTGGTATGGAAGGATAGAGAGAGGGTAATCTTTTTGGGGCTTCCTGGAGGCCAGACTTCACTGATGATGTGGGGTGGAGGATACTGAGCATGGTACATGGATCTTTGAGGAGAGAGTTTGGGTATTCATCTCTGTGTCACCATTGTTTAGTATTGGGCCTCAGAGAGAGTGATTAGACACTCAAAATTTATAAAGAATGAATTAAATAAATGAATGATAGGCCTCCTCACCTAAGCAGCCTCAAACACTAAACCAACTAACCTATCTTTTTGTATATGAACTAGACATAGCCCTACAAAAGAAGATGACAATGCAATGCAGCTTGGTGAAGAATGAAGGTAAGGAAATGCCTTTTCCCTATTCCCAAGATTTTTTGCTGTTAATCCTCACCTGAGGATGTCCTTCCATTGATTTTTAGAGAGAGTGGAAGGGAGAGGGAGAGACAGAAAGAAATATCAATATGAGAGAGAGACATCGGTTGGTTGATTCCTGCATGCATTCCCACCAGGGCGAGGGATCGAGCTTGCAACCGAGGTACATGCCCTTTACCTGATTCAAACCTGAGACCCTTCAGTCTGAGTGCCGACACTCTGTCCACAGAGCCAAATCAGCCAGGGCCCTAAGATTTTTTTAAAAGACTAAACATTTGGGTAAATTTTTAGTATTAGTCATTGCTAGCCAGAGAATAAGGTGGTTATTGGGAGGTTGAAGGGAAGAAAGGCTAGTTAGAAATGTTTTCTTTCCAAGCAGCAGTGCAAGAGAACAAGGTCACCATTATGTGATGCATTTTTAAAGCTAAGTTCAACTTAGACGAGCTGCTTGTGTGCATGGTGGATAAGCAAATATACAACTCAGCAGCAATGATTCCATCATTGGATTTAATGGTGTTTTCTTCTCTGGGGGAAAACCTGCCTGCCATGGGCCATTTTCTGGCATGTGACACACTGCAGGCCCTCATTGGATGAGGATGTTGAAAGCTACTGCCTGTTTGAGAATACATAGTCCTTAGACTTGGATAGGGAAATGAATGGCTTGGTTATAGAAGTCCAGACAGCTGTCAGCTCTCAGTTGTCAGCTCACTGACCACCACTGCTGTACCTTATGGGGCATAAAGTACCCAGTGTATAGGTGACCTACATAAACATTACTGGATACAAGTGTGGGTTTTGACCCAAATCTGCTATATAGGTCTATCTACCCTTACACTTTTAGCAAATCTTGAAACCAACCCTCACAGGACTCAGCTGCTGGCAATTTAAAGGCACCCCTTTACAAAGAAAGCTTGAAAGACCAATTTATACACTGAATACATGGCAACTGTCTCGGATTCCATTAAGGGTTCAAAAGTAACAGCATTTGGACAGTTCCCAGCTTTGTAGCTCACACCCAGGGTTGGTCTCCATACATGGAGTCTGATGTGGTTCATGATGGGGAGGTCTCCTAATCCAGAGTAGGCTTAAGACTTGGCATCTTGCAGCTTGCCTTGCACTGTGCTACTTGTTAAAGGGATTTTAAAGAGGGCCTGCCTACAACCTTGATGAGGGGACAGTAGCTAAGACTTAGAACTATATCTTATTCCTTTCACATGATACACAAAATGTAGTAAGTGCTTGATCTTAATAAATATTTGTTGAATAGATGAATGAACTAATTAATGTGCAGACTAGAGAACATTCAGATACAAATGCTCTTTTGGTGCTAACACTCAAGTTTTAAGTATGCAGAGAGAAGCGTGAACTTGAGAAAAATGTGAATGCCTAGTGCAGTGGTTCTCAACCTGTGGGTCGCAACTCCGTTGGGGATTGAGCGACCCTTTCACAGGGGTCGCCTAAGACCATCGGAAAATACATATATAATTACATATTGTTTTTGTGATTAATCACTATGCTTTAATTATGTTCAATTTGTAACAATGAAAATACATCCTGCATATCAGATATTTACATTACGATTCATAACAGTAGCAAAATTACAGTTATGAAGTAGCAACAAAAATAATTTTATGGTTGGGGGTCACCACTACATGAGGAACTGTATTAAAGGGTCACGGCATTAGGAAGGTTGAGAACCACTGGCCTAGTGAGTGAGACCTAAACAGAGGCTGCCCAAACACCACACGGAAGCTGGAGCCTGAGCTTCTGCACTTACCAGCAATTCAGATACTTTGTCACACCAAAAAGTTTCCAGGTTGATTCCAGGTCAGAGCACATGCCCGAGTTTCAGGCTCAATCCCCAATAGGGGGTGTGCAGGAAGCAGGAAGCAGCCTATCAATGTTTCTCTCTCTCCCTCTCCCTTCCTCTCTCTAAAATCAATAAAAAACATATCTTTTTAAAAAAAAGAACAAACCAAATGAATGGTGCTATGGTCCCTGATAGCAAGAACCAAGATCTGCAGGGCACCTGGAATCATAGTCCTTCTTCATATCACAGAGACCCTGTTTCCTCTCTTGTCTTCCCTCCCACCATCACACTATGTATCACTTTCATTCCTAACTTCTAGGAAAGAAGAAATCTAAATTTAAAGCCTTTAAGAATTTTTTTGGCAAGAAGAAGAGAAAAGAGCCTGAAGGTATCCAGAGAAGCAGCAGCAGCTTGAAACCAAGCTCATCCAACAGCAGCATCAACAACTCTTCCCTGAATCTGGTTCAGGAAGATCAACAACCTACATTTAGGTAAGCTCTCAGGGGCTGATGTGAGGGGGTTAGAGGGGGATGGGGACAGGATAAGGGGCAGATTGCTAGACCCAGGTCCCCCTTTTGTAGCCAATCACTGGTGGGCCTTCGGTTCCAGGGACTTTTGGCCTCCATGCCTGTGGAGGCTGGGTTGGTGGCCATTGTCAATGCAGCCATTTCTCAGTGTCCTTTCTCTGTGCTCATGTGTAGACTTGTCTGGGCCGCACAGCTCAATGGGTTGGAACATGGTAAATGCACAACCCATTCCCCAAGAGCTCTCGGTGGAGGGCACAATAGATCAAGGAAACCTTCCCCTGTCATAGCTACAAGAACTTGAGAAACGGGGTCTACCACTAGAGCTGCAGGCCTCTGTTTTATAAGGTAATAATAGCCTACATTATTCAGGAAGCTTGGTCTGGTTTGCTTGCCTGGCCCTCAGACTGCAGCTCTGTGATTACTGGGTGAGGGGAGCTAGATCTCAGAATACGTGAATAAAGTATCAGTGAAGCCATCTAGCTGAATTGGAGGTATAAGTGTGAAGTCACTGTATTAATGTAAAAATGAACAAATAAATAAGCACGAAAACAAAGAACCCAAATCCATTTCTCCCTCTGTCCCAAGAGACTAGGGGAAATGTTACAACTGTTCACAGAAAGGATGGGGAAGATTGTTTCTGCCCCTGCCACCCCTATTCAAAGTTTCATCTGTGATGCCCCATTTTCTATATCTTATTGTGGAAAATCTGAACACCCAGTACCACCAGCTGTTTCTAGCTCAATTGGATCCCCCTCTATGGAGTTCCACTTGGGCCTGTTCTCCTGACCTTAAATTCTAGACTTATCTGAACTCCCCACACAGCTCACATGTGCTTCTCCTCATTCTCTCAAGGCTTTGCTTAGTGGTGATGGTACAGTTAGCAAACATGTTATACTGCCCCCTAACAGTTAGCAAATAAGTGTCCTTAAGGAGGACCTTAATGAGTGCAATAAATATGAGGAATTTCAGATAGCTTTGCTAGTGGGAAAGACGGTTTTGGACAGGGGCTTGTTTCATACCTCACAAATCATACCATTATAGACCATGGTCTTATAGCTCCAAATAAGGCTAAGACAAGCCCTGTTAAAAACAGAAGGGTGGGGTGGGGAAGGGCATTTGGGTTGACTCCATGCTGTCTCTACAAATTGGCAAGGGCTGTCTCTACTAAAATTGTGTATTTCCCCTTCTTACTTGCCCCTCCCCCTCCAAGATGGTCTATTTAGTTTGCCACATTCTCCACAAAGAAGGTGTGTGTGCAGGTGCATCTCTCTGAGATGGGTGGGGAAAGGAGGGAAGGAGAGAGAATGAGAATGAGAGGGAAAGGGAGTGCATATAAGTGCATGAGCGAGCTCATGTATGAGTAAGGGTGCTTTTCTAAGGAACTGAGATAGGTCTTTATTTTGCAAGGAGCATAAATTAATTGAGTATAACGTGGGAGGTCTGAGGATTACTCCTGACCCCAGTTTCTTGCTTAATGTTATGTGAATTTTACCTCAACTATGTATAGTCTACATATTGAAATCCAAGAGTCACTTGCTTGTAAACAATGTTGGGCGAATGATTAATATGTGATTACACAGCATCTCCAGCAGTAATTGGTTCTGTTGTCGCGTGATGTGACTTTCTGCAGCAGTTTTAATGCGTGCAGATGTTCCACAGATGCTAAGCCACGCTCCAGCCATGTGCATTTGCTAATCGCAGTGACTGGTGAATGCACACATTTACTAGGCTTATTCAGTATAAATTTAAAATGACAGTAATACATATAGAAAACTTTTCTGTGAAATTAAACTTTTCATACATTCATAATTTTAATTACACAAACATATCTACTTAAGAAAAACAGGTAAACTAATTTTTCAATTTTTAACATACGCATTTGTAAAATCTAACTTTATTATATAACGGACTTTCTGCTTTAACGGACATCCTTTTGCTTGAATTAGTCCGTTATATTGAGGTTTTACTGTATTTAATTTTTATGAAATCCATTTATCTATTTTTTTTCTTTTGTCGCTTAAGCTTTTTGTGTCATATCTAATACGTTGCCAAATCCAGGTAATGAACATATACCCCTATGTTTTCTTCTAAGAGTTTAAGCTCTCATATTTAGGTTTTTGACCAATATTGAGTTAGTTTTTATATAAAGGCTGTCCCAAAAATGTATATACATTTTGAATGATTATAAAGTCAGTGTTTATGAACATATAGTTCATTTAAAATTTTTAAAACAATCTATAAAAATGAATGATTTCTTTTGTCAATGCCTGTTTTCAAACTGATGACTGTTCTGGTCCAGGCACTACTGATAACAAAGCAATGGAATCTCAAACATCAAGAATCATTTTGTTCAGTATTTGTGTGCCCTCAATTCATTGACTGTTGCCAGTTTTATACTGTAAACTGTATTTTTTATGAAGCCCTATTAAAAAAGTCTAGTGGCACTTTAGGATGAATTTTCTTTGTTCAAAACTTAGTCTGGCTTTACCCATTATTTAAAATCAGTTAAACCTGAAAAAGAGCGAAAATTAAGTGAGTTATCAGCTATTAAAGTGTGTATACATTTTGGGGGGATACCCTATACATTGTGAGATAAGAGTCCAACTTTATTCTTTGCATGTGGCTATCCAGTTGTCCCAGCACTGTTTGTTGAAAAAACTATTCTTTCCCCCACTGAATGGTCTTAGCACCCTTGTTATAAGTCAGTTAACCAGAGGTGAGTGAGTTTATTTCTGGATTCTCAGTTCTATTCCATTGATCTATGTCTGCTCTTAGGCCAGTGCCAAACTGTAGCTTTGTAGTCAGTTTTGACAGTGGCAAATATGAGTCCTTCAAATTTCTTTCTTTTCAAGATTGTTTGGCTATTTTTGTTCTCTTGCATTTCACTGTGAATTTTAAGATCAGCTTGTCTATTTATGCAAAAAAAGTTTAAAGGCAGCTGGAATTTCATTTAATATCTCATGAACAACTTTTTGTCTCAGCATTTATTCATCTCTACCCTCCTTCCGTGATGTCTTTCATAGGCCATATTATAGATATACATGTGTCTTTGGTTCCTATGGCCCTTGGGCTGCTTTTACAAGACTGTTTCCTTCTTTTCTAGGGTCAGGAGAAGCATGAACAAATCCCTGTCCCATGAAAGCATCTTCAGGTCGAAGTCTGAGCTTAAAAGCCCAGAACGTAAAATATACCCCTCTCCAGAGCCCCAGAGTGGCAGATCTCTGAAGGTAACACTGAACTTGAATATCAGTGCCTATTTGGACTACTCTTCCTCCATTCCCTATTCCTACCCCACCAAAAAAGGAGGGAGGAATTTGGCCTTACTTCTCTGCTGATTCTACCTCCACAGGGCTCTTGTAAACATTGAATGAGAGAATGTACTTTAAATATATGATGTGCTTACCTAGTGCTTGTCACATAGTGTTGACTAGTGTTACCATATTCACTTTATTTGACACACACAAGAATTTAAGTATTATTACAGTGACATCCCACTGTTAATGTGCAAGTATTCCAACCTCCATGTTTTTTTTCTTCCACAGAGAGCTCATATTTCCAGAACTCTGTCTGTCACTAGTAGTGTGCATAGACCTGTTTCTGGAACTCTGCTTGGAGTTATACCCCATTACGTGCACAGAAGTGGAATCTGGATTGGAGGCTCCAAGATCACTGAGGTAATAGAGTAGAATTGTTCAAAGTATGGCATCTGAGTCAAACAGACAGACCTATGCTTGAATTCTTGATCTGCTACCTATTGGCTCTATAACCTTGGACTGATTGCTTAACCTCCATGAGCCTTCCTTTCCTCATTTACACTGGGTATAATATTAATATCTACCTCAAAGAGTTGCTTGTTAGGATTGATAAAGACTCATAGAGGTTTAAGAAATTGCTCAGGATCTCCCAGATAGTAAGTGATAGACTTGGAAATCTGACCCAGTTGTGTTGACTTTAAAACACGTGGTCTTTCCATTAGCACAGTCTCTAAGATGCTCAACTTCTTTATACTTGCTTCAACAGGGAGAATGGCACACATTTAGTCTCCACAAAATGTAGCATGTGAGTTCAATCCCCAGTAAAGGTACATAGAATAATCAAATAATGAAATAAGTGGAACAACAAATCCATGTCTCTCCCTCCCTCCATCTCTGGGAAGGCCACACAGGGAAGAGACCCTTCTTCAATGGAGAGCTGATTATTCCGTATTTGGCAAAAGGTTACTTGGGTTTATTTTTTATTGATTGATTGATTGGGGAGAGGGAGGGAGGGAGAGACAGAGAGAGAGAGAAAAGGCTATTGGTGTGTGAGCTAAGGCTATCGGTCTTTGGTTTGAATAGGTACTAGAAGTGAAAACAGGGAGGTAGAAGATTCTTTCTTTGGCATGTTTTTTAACTTTGATTTCTTAGTCCTTTAACCATTAAGCAACAAGAAAACATGCATAATTTGGAGGAAAGTACCCAAGTTTTAACTTTTTTCCTTTTATACTCCTCCTTAACAGATTCCACCACTGCGCTCATGCCAGTCCATCAACCCAACCCTGATACGATCTGACACAATCCCTAAGGACTTTGAAGAAATCTCTGCTGCTGCTGAGTCACCTAAGACCCCACAAAAGGCTTTTCCACCGATGTTGACAATGAAGGTTAGCCCCATCAAAAGTGGCAGGTTGTGTGGGGGTAGTGATAGGTGGATCACAAGTCAGAGGCATAGTTTCTTCTTGAGTTTTATTTTCTCCTGTTGTAGCTCAATATTAGGAAGATTAGTGGGGAAGGAGAGTCGATTCTTGGTTATTTATTTACATGGTGATTTACATTTTCTATCCAATTCTAAAAGCCAAATAATTAGTCTTCAAGTTATAAGCAATAGAAGGCCGTATCTGAACAAAAAAAGTTTCCAGATGTTTTCAGTTATTTCAGGAAGAAAACAATGGAGATTTTGATGGAAGGAAAGCCTCTACAGATTTAATGCCAAAATCTTAAGGTTAGGGCATGTAGTATTATTTGAGAGACACATATCCATATGAAAAAAATCATTTGACATATGAGAGGGCATGCATGTGTATTTCATATATCTAAGTTTGTCAACCAAATAATATTCATCAACAATTGGAATATGAATAGATTGTGCCCATATGAACATTTCCATTCTCAAACTAATGTGTAGTTAATTTGTTTGTTTTTGAACTTGAGAGGGCTTTTAAAGTGAAGTAGAATTTTGAACAATTAGCATTGGGAACTAAAAAGTAAACAGAAAGGTAATTTATAATGAAGATAATTGGCCAGTCAGCAAAAAACTATGTTTTGATGTTAAAAGATTCTATAGAGAGAAGTAACCTTCAGTTAAATATGTCAACCAAAAAAAAAAAAAAAGCCAAAACAAAACAAAACACCAATTAGGTTAGGACCAAAGGTAAAGCACAGGCTGGCGATAGGGAGATGGATGCTCACTGATTTATGGATTTAGGCTATGATTATGAGTTTTTTTTTCCTGCAGAATATCACAAAATCAGATGACGGGACATTCAGTCTGAATTGGTGGAAGGATTGAATTAGATAATTTTATTGAAGTAAAATTCACATAACATGTAATTTCTCATATTAAAGTGTATGATCCAGTGGCTTTAAGTATATTCACAACATTGTGCAACCATCAACACTATCTAGTTCCAAAATAGTTTGTTTCCCCCAAAAGGAAGCCCCATACCTATTAAGCAGTCACTCATCATTCCTCCCTCCTCTCTGGATTTGTCAATTCTGCACACTTCATATAAATGTAATCATACAGTATGTGGTCTTTTGAGTCTGGCTTGTTTCACTTAGCATAATGTTTTTAAGGTTCATTCATGTTATAGCACATATCAATACTTAAGTCATTTTTATGGCTGAGTAATATTCCATTGTATGAATATACCATGTTTTGTTTAGCTATTCATCTATATCTGTATATTGGTTATTATAAATATTGCTGCTGTGAACATTCATGTATAAGTTTTTGTTTAAACACCTGTTTTCAATTATTTTGGGTATATACCTCAGAGTGGAATTGCTGGGTCATATGGTAAGTCTATGTTTAACTTTTTGAGGAGCCATTAAACTGTTTTTCCCTAGCAGCTACCCCACCTTACGTTCCAATATATCCACATGTTGGCCAACTCTTTTCATTTCCTTTTCTAAAAAAAATAGTCATTCTACTGGGTATGAAGTGGTATCTCATTGTGATTTTGATTTACATTTCCATAGTGACTAATAATGTTAAGTGTTTTTTGATGTGCTTATTGACCATTTGCATATCTTCTTTAGAGAAATGCCTATTCAAGTTCTTTGCCCATTTTTAAATTGTTTTTGTTATTGTTGTTGTGGGTGAGTTGTAAGAGTTCTTTATATATTCTGGAGACTAGACCCTTACCAGATATATGATTTGCAAGTATTTCCTCCTATTCTGTGAGTTGTCTTTAAACTCTATTCAAGAGAACAAAATTGGTCAAAATTTTAAACATTTTGTAAGGTTTAATTTATACTTTTTTTCTTTTGATACTTATGCTTTTGAGTCATATCTAAGAAACCATTGTCAAATATAATATCATGAAGGTTTACCTCATTTTCTTCTAAGAGTCTTAGCTCTTATATTTAGGTCTCTAGTCCATTTTGAGTTATTTATATATGGTGTGAGATATGGTCTACATAACTTCATTCTTTTGCATATGGCTGCCCAGTTATCCCAGCACCATTTGTTGAAAAGACTATTCTTCCCTCCACTTAATGGTCTTGGCACCCTTGGTGCAAATAAATAGATGAATGGGTTTATTTCTGGACTCTCAGTTCTGTTCCATTCCTTATGCCAGTACTGCGCTGTTCTACTTATTGTAGCTTTGTAGTAAGTTTTAAAATTTATTTTATTTTTAATTTAAAATTTTTATTGATGAGAGAGATGGAGAGAGAGAGAGAGTTGTTGTTGTACTTATTTATGCATTCATTGGTTGATTCTTGTATGTGCCCTAACTGGGGAACCCATAACTTTGTATCAGGATGATGCGCTATCCAACTGAGCTATCTGGCCAGGGCCAGGTGTATTGTTGACTGAACTATATTTTACTGGGTCTAGATTAGAAACATGACAGAAGGGGGAAAATACTAAAATGTGTTTTATTTTTCCAAAGAGCAGCCTTACCCCAATTAACAACAAAGGAGTGTCCAGAACCCCTATCAACCAGTGCTACGGACCCCTTCCCCTGGCCTAAGGCCTAATCCTGATTCCTCCCCCAGAAAGATTCAAGGTTAGTAGGCGCCAGGCCTGGTACATCTCACAGATGTTGAGGTGAAAGGACCTTATTTAACTCCAGCTGTTAACCAGAAGTTGTCTGTGCCAACCTCCCTCGAAAACACAGGAGAAAGAACGAAAACATTTGACATTGGGCACATAGAGGGTGTTTTGGTTCTCAGCATGCAGGGAGGAAGGAGTGGGTTGCAGGAGGGGTGCGGGAGGAAAAGTAGAGAAAGGAATCCCATTTCCTTCCCTCAATTTTCTTTCAGAAACCTGCCAGAAAAGGATTCCGTTTGCTTTTCCTGAATAGCTCATAAAATCCTATGGTTGGCTCCTGTGGTAACTTTTCTAGGTTTCTCCTAACCAATATGGCTAAGGGAAAAGGTAGGGCCTTAGAAAGAGCCCTGCTTCCCAAAGGGGTTTCAGATATTTCTGGTTTCTGTTTTAAGGGAACTGAGAGTTAATCACTTGGCCTTCAAAGGGGCTTCTGCTAACACAAATATCTGGAGATTCTTAGGAATGAGAGGTGCTCTGGGGTGCATCTTTGAGGTGTGAAAAATGCTATGTCAGGAATCCCAGAGGTACTTTTTTGAATCCCCTACAGAGGAACCCAACTAGGAGCTCCAGGATCAGATAGTTTGCAGAGGTGGAAGCTAGCCATAATGAGGACAAGGTGACATGCTCCATAAACACACCACTGGGGGTGGGAACACTCAGTTCCTCAGGGTGCTCCCATCAGCTTTGTATCCATTAACAGTAATATAAGTGAAGGTAGTGTGTTGTTTATGTAAACTTAGCTTATAGGCAAGGCCTCTTCCAACCTGATTTTCTGCCCTCCACTGAGCCCGCTTATAGAGAAATACCAGAATGCTGATGGGTTTTACTGACACCAATTGTGCCTTCATCCCAATCAGCTCCTCCTGTTAATAAAACAGGGGTACAGCCTGACCGGTTTGGCTCAGTGGGTAGATCGTCGGCCTGCTGACTGAAAGGTCCCAGGTTCGATTCCAGTCAAGAGCATGTACCTTGGTTGCGGGCATATCCCCAGTGGGGGGTGTGCAGGAGGCAGCTGATTCATGTTTCTCTCTCATCGATGTTTCTGGCTCTCTATCCCTCTCCCTTTCTCTCTGTAATAAAACCAAACCAATAAAATATATTAAAATATATTAAAATAAATAAATAAATAAATAAATAAATAAATAAATAAATAAATAAAAACAGGGGTACAAGGCAAGAGAACATGCACATCCTGTCACCTTGTTAACTCCATTAAGTGGTTGGGCTCCTGTCCCAAGGGCAAAGGGGAGCTCCTGAATACTTTCTAAGCAGAGGAGCAACCTGAACTTCTTGTTTCTTGTTTTCACCTGCCAGGGAACAATCAGAAATTGTTCCCCTTGCCACTAATGAGCCTATTGACCTGAAGTGTCAATATTCCTGTAGTAAAAAGGGACAATTGTTCATGAAGGATTTCTGCTTTAGGAATTCTTCAGCCAGAGGGATGTCCAACTTTGGAGACCAGTGATAGTGTATGGAGTTGACTCATTTCTTTTCTTCCACTTTCTTCAGAGCTCCTTTGAGCCCTCATCTATACCCATGCGTGCACAGTCCTTGACAACATTTGCCACGCTCACCTCTCCCAGCAGTCCCCAGCTATCCGTTAGTTTCAGCACCCCACCTACCACCCAGGGCTGTTTGGATTCTTCAGCTGCTCGACACAAGATGGCTTTAAACCCCCGAAAACAAAAGAAGTACCTTCAAGCTACTGTAAGTCCTTCAAGAGGCCTGGGAATAAACTCCTATGTGACTAAGGATGACTTCCAAGCTTTGCAAACTGCACCTAGGGAAGTGGTATGATTTGGAGGATTCATAGCCTAAGTAGAGGTGGTAAAGTCAAGGATACTGTCCCAGGATTTACACCCCCAGGGAGGTGACCAAACTTAAATTTAGTGATTGGGATGTCCTATGCATGTGGAACTTACATAAAAGAGACTGAAGAAAATAGAAACAGTAATCTAAATTCCTAGAAACTGCTTATTGTATTAGCATCAGGAATTCACTCAACCTTTTTTGTAGAGGATATTTAACCATAGCCCCAAATTAGGATTCTTTTAATTATTAATCAAGTAAGACCCATGTGTTACAAATTGCAGCACTGTTACACTCATTTGGGATAACTCAAAGCATTCAAAACTCAGCTATTAACACCCCCCCCCAAAGGATCTCTCAGTATCACATTGATGTCACAAATTACTGTTTACGACTTTCAAGCAGGTAGAGCTACACTTAGTGAGCCAATTCTGTTAAAAACATGGCCACAGATCAGATTCCGAGATCTGACAGCAAGGAAAAGTAACAGTTGATAGCAGAGAGGGGCCATTCATTTAGTACAGGGATCAAGAACCTTGCCCACCTTTCTAAGTCCCTCAGGGCCACACTGTATCATAATCCAATGTAATAGGTCATGTTCATTATTTGCCCGAGTCATCAAGAAAAGTTAAACTATGTTCCCTGATCTCTGTTTAGGAAGGTAGGAAAATAATGTCTTTGGCAAAGATTTTTACTAAAAGCTAAGAATTAAATATGTTAATGTTTATAAGGATGTGTCAGTTAGCTGGAAGATTGATTCACTTTGGTCAAACACTAATTTCTCAGTGACAGTGAGCTATAAGTAAAGGGCTTTAAATCAAAGCTGAAAGAGTCTAAATGATTTCATAGTTTTAATATTTTACAGGAATGAAATTAAAGCACAAATAGTTGCCCAAGGTCAAACACCCTATTGGTGATAGAGCTAAGGCCAGAACCCAGTCTTCTGACTTCCAATCCAGTACTCTTTTCACTCCGCCATGTTGCTCCTTGATTAGACATCTCAATTTAGCTTTAGAAAAAGAACAAATACAACTTGAAAGAACAGTAGGCAGGGCAGCAGGCCCAGGGGGCCTCTGGTGGACCTGAGAGAATTTCCTTGGTTCAGTGTCAAGCAGAGGATCACCAATTACTACGCACTAAACCCTGTATATGCATTATCATCTTGACCCGTCACAAACCTGGGAGATGGGGAATGTTGGTTAAGGGAAACTTAGTGTGACCCTTCTGACTTCCTTCTGCATCACCTAATTGAGGAAAGACCTGGGTATCACTCTTTAAAAAGGCTGGAACATCTACTTCTTCCTTCTGACTCTCTACCTGACACTCAAATGAATATAAATGGGTACAGGATCATATATGACACAGAAGCTGCTGCCACCTGCTCCCTGCTTTAGAATTTCTTAGGTCTTCAAGTCCCATAGGAGGTTTCCTTTATCTCTAATTTATAGATATGGACATGGAGATTTAGAGAATAACTTGCCCAGGGATCCACAGAGAGTAAATGATGGAGCAGAGATTTGAACCCAGGTCTCTGACCACATTTACTCAGAAGTAATTTTGAGCTGAGCCTGAACAGGCATGTCAAGTGGGGACATGAAGAGTTGTATTTTTGTCTTTAGATGCATGTCATAAAGGCTTATGTTAAGCAAATTCTGGACACTGTTCAATACAGTGCTACTCTGACATGTCTAAAGCTGCACTGTAATTATCTGAAAACCTTGTTTATTCTAAACCAATTTTAACCCCTTCAGTATAAATGCTGAACCCTTCATCTTTTCCTCTCTTCCTTCCTAACAAAAACCCTGATGCACTTTCTTCTTTTGAGCTGGAAAGACATAATTCATGTTCTCACTAAATTCCCTGGGGATGAAAAAGCCAAACAGGATTTGAATTTGGCTCCCAGGTGTGATGAAGCAAATTTAATAATTCCAATGTTGCCAAGAATACAAGAATATGATTGTTGTCAGGCCCAATACCCCATTTTCAGATTTATTGGCCAGCAGTGTGTTTCAGTGGTTTTAGAGAGTTCTCTGCAGCATATCTCTAAGAGGTTAGACACTTCAAATGTAGGTGAACCACTTCGAATAGGTAAAATGATCACCAGGTGATGAATGCTATTGGAAATAATTTTCATTGTTAATGGTATTGTTATGTTCCCAGCAGAGCCATTTGGATATCAGAGATGTTTTTTCCTGATTTTTCCTCCCTTTGGCAACCATATAGGGATGGGTGAGCACCTTAGTCTTATTCAAGCTCTTTCTTCTCTCTTTTAGATGAAGCCAAAGCAGGAGGAGCCAGGCCTCCCACTGGTTTCTGAAGAGAAAACCAAACCAAAAGCAGTTACCCAAAAGAAGCTCAAAGACAGTGCAGGTTGGCACACTTCACCCTCACCCAGAAGCATGTACCTCAAGCTTAATTGCACGGTGCTATGTGATAGGAGTTACCCAGGCCAGCTGTCCTTGGTACTCAGAGAGCTTTCAATTTAAGATGCATACTAATGTGGTCCAGGCTTCTCCATCTAAACTGCTTAATTAATACAATTGCCACTTGCAGGGGGCTCATACTGGATCCCTCTTTTGTCTAAATCCGTGGTTGGCAAACTGCGGCTCGCGAGCCACATGCGGCTCTTTGGCCCCTTGAGTGTGGCTCTTCCTAAGCCTTAGGAGTACCCTAATTAAGTTAATAACAATGTACCTACCTATATAGTTTAAGTTTAAAAAATTTGGCTCTCAAAAGAAATTTCAATCGTTGTACTGTTGATATTTGGCTCTGTTGACTAATGAGTTTGCTGACCACTGGTCTAAATGAATTTAAAACCAGAGGTGGTTTGTGTTTGTGAGTTTCTTCAATCCCCTCTAACTCTACTGTACATGCTGAGTTCCTCAGTGAGCTCAGATATTTGAGGGCAGCCAATAATTTCCCTTCAGCATTCCCCCTCAGCAACAGAACCAGATAATAATTACAGAATTGGCCCCAAACTAGTTTTTTAAAAAAGATTTTTATAGATTTCAGAGAGGCAAGGAGAAGGGAGAGAGAGATAGAAACATCAATGATGACAGAGAATCATTGATCGGCTGCCTTATGCATGCAGCACAGTGGAGATCGAACCTGCAACCCGGGCATGTGCCCTTACTGGGAATCAAACTATGACCTCCTGGTCTACCACTGAGCTATGTCAGCCAGGCCCAATACTAGTTTTTTAAAGTTGCTTTTCTCTTCCTGTAGAGAAGTGGTTCCCAACGTGGGGCACATGATTTTTAAGGGGGGCACTTTGATTTTTAAGGAGGGCAATTTGAGAATGAGTTATTAACAGTGAACTTTTTGCATTTCTTATGGTTCTAGGGGCCTAATATACAGTATATAAATATATATTGTGACATATTTATGCATTTCAGTTCTCTGTTGTATGTTTTGAAACTTTATTTGCTATTTTTTCAAGTCACTACATATTATTATATTTTTAAAACAATTTCTTAGTGATTTCTTCCTTAGTACTTCAACTGTCCTTTTTTAAAATTTTTCTCTTTCATGGATGCCATATTCCTTGGAAGCTTGTTTAGACCAAGTTAAGTTTCTTATAGGCTTCCTCCACATTAATAGGAGTTGACTTTTTGAATAATAAGAATTATATGTCACCGGGGGGGGGGGGGATCAGGATTTTAGAGATGTTTAGGTGGGGCATGGCCCAAAAAAGGTTGGGAACCACTGCTGTAGAGAGAAAAGGTCTTGCATTAACAGTGAGACCAATTCCCATATCCATGGGCAAAGAGGGCTAGGGCAGCTGCAGACAGATGTCTTTTCTAGTTGACACCCGCCAAATACCCAAATAATACCATGGGAGTGAAAATCTCTCTGTGTGTGTATAGGTGGATGTTGGCTCCAGCTGATGGCAACCTCATTTCAAGCAATACTTGATAAAACAAAATCCCAGTTCCATAAATTTAGTCAAACAATTATTTCATATTTTTCCACAAAGGAGTTCAAAGATAGGATATTCCTAAACAAATTTTTTCATGGAAACTAACAAAACTGTTCTGCAGAGAGAGAAAAACAGAGAAAGAAATGAGTAATTCCTTTTTACTTTCTTTTTATTGTTTTTTTATATTTACTTTTAATATTTGTCCTTTTATGCACAGAGGATAGAACTGATTCAGTGTCGATGGGGGCAGATACTGATTGGATTTGCACATAATGGGAATAGTTTGGAGTGAACCCAGCTATGCTCAGTGCTGTATGCTGGATATAAAGCCACCAGATGGAGCTAGGGATGCAATGGATGATGGGGGAGCGAAGGCAGTGAGGGTTTTCCCACCTGGGCATCAAGCTGAATTCCTTAGTAAAAAATATAGCAAGGAGCTCAGCTGGTGTAGTTCAATGGTTAAGCATTAACCCAGGAACCAAGAGGTCACGGGTTCGATTCCCAGTCAGGGCATATTATATGAAAATTAAGTAGAATTAAGTAGAAAATACAAATACTAATTAGAAAGTAAAATTTCCCCTTGCCCTGCCCCAGTTGGTTTCCTAAAAGATAATCATTGCTGCAAGTTCAAAAATTGTCTTTTGATGTGTCTCACTCTTAATGGTGGGCAATAATGATATAATGATAATGAGTCAACCTTAGAATCAGTTCATAAAACTGGGATTTTACTTCACTTTTAGTGACCAGTTGCTCTAGCTTCTGAATAGCTACTTCTTCATGCTAGAAAATTCAATACCAAATAGGTACCCATTAGGCCAAGGCAAATTGTTCTTATTTTAGGAAGTCAAAAGCACACATATTTTTCCATTTCTTATTTCTATCTGGTACAGGTCCCTCAAGTCAGGAACAGAGCATCAAAACTGAGATTTATAACACAACAGACCAGGCTGCAAATGCAGATGCTGTTGAGAGTCTGGGCTACTCATGGCCAGCAGCATATGGAAGACGGTGTGGAAAAAAAGAATCAAGTGCTTCAGAAAAGAATGAGTGTGGATCCAAAGAATGGAGCTTTATACAACCTAGTCGAGGGTCTGGCTTAGGTAATAGAGCTGGGTACTCATCTGCTGACAAGATTGCCAGGAATAACCCTTTCTGGCGCTTTTCCTTGGAGAGAAAAGTCATGAAGCAGCACAGAGCTCCACAAGTAGAAACCACTACTCCTCACGAGTTGCTTTCAGATGAAAATGACATGAGAAGGAGAATGGCTAGTTTAGATTTTAAAACAAGAAAAGCATCGTTATCATATCTCAGACCTAAAGACATGAAAGAGTCCATGGCTATTGGTCCATCACAATACCACGAAGATGGAACTAAGAAGTCAGAAGCCATAACTTCTCTTTCATCAGTGGTGGAAAACCCTTATTCAAGCCAAGAAGTTATCATGTTTTCAGTGACAGAGAAGGCTCAGGTGCATATGGATCCTTCTCATATTCAGTCAGAAGAGGATGCTTCCAGCTTTGATTCAAAAAATGACCAATTTGAAATGAAGTCAGCTCAAGATAACTCAACTATCTGCAAAGAAACACCTTCTGGAAATGTCATCCAGGCCTTTCCAGCAAGTGTTTTGGATATGGCAAGTGCTTTTCCAGAGGGAGGAATTTCTGTAAAGAGGCTGCCTCCCAGAAGCCTTTCCCAATCTTTGGGGAAGCCGGAAGCTGAAGGAGTCTCCTCAGATTCAGACGCTATTTCAGGGGTGGAAAGTGGTTCTGATCAGCAGCTGGCTCCTGGATATGTTTTCCAGTCTTCAAGGAAGCCCAAAGATGAAGAATTAGTCTCAGATTCAGAGAGTGCTTCTTCAGAGGAGGGCAATGGTTCTGAACAGAAGCTGGATCCCGAATATTCTTTCCAGTCCATGATGAAGTCCAAAGATGATCAAGAAACCTTCCCAGATTTTAACAGTTTTCTTGGGAACTTATGCAGTTCTCATGAGCAGCTGGCTCCCAGATGTGCTTCCCAGGCTTTGGAGGAGCCTGAAGACAAAGTGCCCACAAAATCAAATAGGAATTCTGAAAAATACAGTAATCCTAATGATTGGAGCAGTTCTGAGGAAAATATGCCTCCCAGACATCCTTCCCCAGCCTTGGGGACACCCACAGCCCAACAGGAAATCTCAGTTTCAAAGAATACACTTGAGGAGTTGGTTGTATCTGTGGAGCAGACTCCTCCCAGACACCTTCCTCAGCCCTCTGTAAAGCCATCTGTTCAGCAGCAACTCTCCTCAGGTTCAGCAAATGCTTTTTCAGAATGGGTGTCAACGCCTCCCATGAACTTTTTCCATCCCTGGCTGAGCCCTAAATCTGAGGAAGAAGCCTCTGCAGGTCAAGAAAATATTGCTCCTGAGTGGGGCATTTTTATGGAGCCGCTGCCTCCCCGAGTGCATTCAAGGCGCCTGATGAAGCGTAAAGTTGAGCAACCAATCTCCCCAGGGTCAGAAATTGCTACTATTGAAGGGATCATGTCTACAGAGCTGAAGCCTTCAAGAAATAATTCTCAGCCCCCAGTGAAACCAATTGCTGAACAAGAAATCTCTGCAGGTCCAGAGAGCACAGCTGTTAAGGGGAGCATTTCTATGGAGCCCCCTTCTCCTAACGTTTTTGCCCAGCCCATGATGAACCCAAAAGTTGAACAAAATGTGTTCTTAGGTTCAGAGGGTGCTGATAAGGTCCTTTTAGTGGAGATAACACTCCCTGAATGCTCAACAAATCCTCAAGACCAGCATGTCTTCTCAGAGAACACTGCTGGTAATAAGGACATGTTTGTGGAACCCCTGCCTCCAGACTACCCTGTCCAGACATTGGCGAAGCTTAACTTCCAGCCACAGACTATTTCCAGCGACCCAGGGAGTGCTTTCACAGAATGGAGCTATCCTGTGGAGCTGATGCCTCCCAGACACACAATGGGCTCCTGGGTGAGCACCAGCTTTGAACAACCCTCTGCAAGTCCAGAGAGCACTGCTGTGGAGTGGGGAAACCCTACAGAGCCACTGCTTCCCAAAATGCCTTCTCAGTCCCTAAGGAGACCAGTTGCTGAGCAAGAAGTCTTCTCAGGTTCGATGAGCGCTTCTGAAGAATGGAGTGATCTTGTGCAGCTGACGTCTTCTCTATACACTTTACAGCACTGGGTGAGCCCTAAATTTGAGCAACAAACCTATGCAGGTCCAGAGCCTTCACAGTGTTGCATGAAATCAGTAGGTCCAAAGAGTGTTGCCATTGAGGGGGACACTTCTACAGAGATGCTGCCTCCCAGACATTGGTCCATTGTGAGACATAAAATCCAGAAAATGATGCCAACTTCTGAGAATGCTGCTGTTGGGTGCATTTCTGAGAGCCCACTGCCTATCGAATATCCCACCCACTTCTCAACGCCTAGCATTCAAGAAATATCCTTACATCCAGAGAACACTGCTGTTGAAGGAGGCATGTCTAAGAAATCGCTACATCCCAAGTGTCCTCAGTCATTTGTGAAATTTATGGCACATCATGTCTTTTCAGAGAGCCCTAATATGGAGGATCAGGTTTATGTGGATCCTCTGTCTTCTAATCAACCTTCCAAATATTTGTTGAAGCCTACAGTTGAGCACCAAGTTTTCTCAGGTTGTGAGTGTGCTGATATCGAGGGAGGCATTTCTTCAAAGCTGGTGCCTACAAAATGCCCTTTACAGTCTTTGGGGAGGCTTGAAGACCCACAAGGAGTTTTCTCATATTCAGAAAATGCTCCTGTTAAGTGTAGCTATCCCCAAGAGCAGCTGCTTCCTGGATACCTTTCCCAGGCATGGGGGAAGCTTAAGTATGAGCAAGAAGTCTCCACAGTTTCTGAGAGCTCTTTTAAAGAATGGGAGAGTTCTGAAGAGCAGTTGCCTTCCAGATGCCCTATCCAAGCTGAGGATGGGGCTGAATTCCAGCCACAGGTGTCCTCATCAGGCTCAGTCAGTGTACCTGTAGAGAGGAGCAGTGCTGAGAATCAGCTGCCTCCCAGACACCCTTTTCAGGCTTTTGCAGACCCTCAATATAAGCAACAAGTTTATTCAAGTTCCATGAGTACTGCTGCCAAGGGAATCATTTTTGAGAGCAATCCTAGCAGCCAGGCCCTCCCAAGAGGTCCGGCTTCTCCAAGCAAAACTAGGGAACACAGCCAAGACTCTGAAGACCTCTTTAAGAACATTTCGACTCCTGCTACCAAATCTGTGAAGTTCGCCCTTGCTCCTGCCTGGCCACTATCCACTTCTGGGGATACTTACACTCAGGAGGATGTTCTTGAGAGTAGTGATCAAAATAACGACTATTCAAATTTATCCACCAGTGAGGCTGATGTTGAAAACCTCTTTGGAGTTCGACTGAAGAGAATCCCTTCCTCAGAGAAGTACAAGATTGAGGAACAAAACCATTCTACCAAGCTTCCTTCACTCTCCTTAGGCCCAGTTTCATCTTACACAGACAGAGAACCACAAATCATAAGTGCTTCCCAGGGGCTCCTGGGCATCTCCAAGAACCTTACCACAACATCTGACATTGCAGAGAAGCAACAGAGCAAGCCCAAATCTGCCAGCATGCTCAAGAAGAAACCTGATTACAAGATCCCAGGTGAGACTATCTTTCCAGATGGCAGTTAGGTACCAAGTGGAGGGAAGAACTGTAAATCAGTCTTGAATGGAAAGAAGTCTGTTCTAGCCTTGCCTGCTGAGTTTTTCCTTTGATAGGGCTGGCTTGTTGATTTAGGGGCAGGATAGTGCCCCATTCTAGATTAAGGGATTCTTTAATGGATACATGACCATCTTCCCATTCCCTCTCTCCCACCCTCTGTATGCTTTACATTTGGATAAAATGTTATGATTTTCTCAAAACACTTTTACATGTATTATGCCCCCCTCACACACACACCATGTGGATTTTTAAAGACAGCTCATTAATAGAGCACTATGTTCAGACTCTCAGCTTGAAATCTTAATTTACTGTAAGTGGTTGTACTTCCAGAGCTTCTTCCCTCACCTGAAATGTCTAAGAATCCAGATCTAGGTAATCTTTTGAGCACTAATCTCTCACAAAGTCTTTGCATCTTCCAACTCACCATCACATAGTCATGTATATGCCTATAACCACACCCATGTACCTACACACTTGCATAAGGATCTATGAAGTAACAAATACTGTAAGCATTTCCTTGGAGTTAGAGGATTGGCATTAATGGTCAATGACCTGAACCTCTGGCCTCCTAGGAATTTTTCCAACCCACCTGGCAACCATTGTCCTATCATGATTTGGAGATAGGAAGAGGGATAGACAAGGAAGGGAAAGGTACCAGTAAGAGAACAGTATGTAAACTTTGAAGTACAGCTTCTTATCTACCCAAAGAACTCCTTCCTTACTAGATTTTGGGGAGGGTACAAAAGAAGGGGGCTCTTCTCTATGTGAGATCTATTTATTTTCACTGGGCAATTCACAAGGATCCCATTGGGACATTATTATGGGTAGGCCCCAGCCAGCCTCAAGACACTGCCTGCCTTGCTTCAGTTCTAACTCCTTTAATTCCTTTCTCAGGAAAGGCTCCTGGTAAACTATCAGGTTATGCCACCTTAGACCCATCTTGGATAACCATGGTCAAGCAGAAGCAGAAGAATTCCCCAACCCAGGTTCCTACGAAAGAGCTGAAAACCAAGAATAGAGATGGAGCAAAGGTTGGCACTAAGGTGCCTAGATATGAGGTAGGATCTGGGGAAACCCACAAAACACTCCCACAGGTTGCACTGGAAACTTTTCCAGGCATACATCTCCCCACTTCTTTGGTTGCATTAATCAAGACAGGAGGACTCTTCAAGGGAAAAGACTTGCTTTGTACTCAAACAAATGTGCCCCGCTTTGTGCTCTTAGTGTGTGAAAGTAATGAATGTGAAAAGATTCTATAAATCAAATCCTGTCCTAAACATTCTAAAGCAGATTCCATGAAATTGGTTGAGAAATAAGGAGTAAGTCATAAAAAATCCCAAAAGAATTTTTATGACTGGAGTGAAAGTTTTTTATGACTGGGGTGAAAGTTGAAGAACTATTCTTACAGATATTTTAGACACACACACACACACACACACACACACACACACACACACACACATTTAGATCAGTATGGAGAGGTTAATTTGAAAAGCTTACACTAGACAATTTTGAAAAGACCTATAATTATATTATTTTCTAATGCAAGGAGTGCAAGTCAGATGACAACAAGTTTTGCTCAATAGAAATCCTATGGAACTCACTTCAGTTAATTGATAAAAGTTGTTTGTAACCACCACATTCTGTTAGTTTGCTGTTAAGTGCTAGGGAAAAGGTTGTTCTCAAGATAAAAAATTCTCATGTCAACCTGTTTACACTATTTGTATGATTAGACAACCTTTTTTCCAGATCTGAAAAGTGGTAAACTTGAACCAGCTTAGGGTTTGTGAACCTAAATTCTGAACCAAGGGGGCTCTCACTGCTATGTCTTTCCTTATCTTTTTCTATCTCTATCACTCCATATCTTTCCTTTTTATTAATTTTGGCCTCATAATACCCAGGACAGGGCTTATACCTGTGATCATATGAATAAGTAATTGGCTGTTTTCATGTTAGGCCTTACAAGCTTCCTGTTTTCATTTTTGTATTAAAGGGAGATGACCTTGCAAAACAAAGCCAACAAAGAGAGATTTCCACTTCCGATGTCAATAGACAGGAGAAGAAGGCACAGATGAAGCTACCTGACTCTACCAAAGCAGGTAAAAACACTCACCTAACCCCCTCCCCCAAACAGCCCTGGAAGAATGCTGTGAAACTCTTGCATTTTCAAGCTCTGACAATATATATCTTCCCACCTCCAACTCCAAATCAGCTTCATGAGTCTCTCATGGCTCTTCCATTAGGTACAGATATTTACTTGTTTTAGGAAAATCCAATCACTATGGCTGTTATAAGTCCAGTGTATAACTTTCAGAGTAGCTTCCATTTTTTTTACCCTATTGAGGAAATTGCGTAGGTACAAAATTATGATCATGTACTAAAATGTTTCTGAGGCTAGTATTCAAGAGGAAAGAACCAAGTTACTTTTCAGTTCATAGCAAAGCAGTGTGTTCTCATCTTCTCTATTTTCAATGAAACTATTAAGAATAATCCACTCTAAAGACCAAATGATATTGAATTGTTTTTTTAAAACTATTTAAAAGGCTTGTTTTAGCCCCTCTATATTCTAAGCAGAGGTGTGAGAGGTGGGGAAATGTTGAAAGTGGAAAAAACATTATGCTGGAATAGAACAGAGTGTGATTTCATCAGCAGAGTTATATGCCAGAGAGTTGTTGTTGTTGTTTTCAGCAAGAACAAGGGCCCAGTACGATGGATTTATATTGAATTATCTTTGTCCTTTCCTTTAGTCCCCCTCATGAAAAATTAGACTAGGAATTTGGTAACCCATTGTCTGGCCATAAAATAGTAGCACCTGACCTGCTCATAGTTATTAATAATCTCATGGACACTATATTCCTGCCAAGTGGTTCTCAAGTCACTGTTTTAGAAAGCTCACTGGTAAGCTTTTAAGGGTAGGGGGTGCTGGGGGAAGGTCAAGGTGGGGAAAAAAAGGAGACAAATGTACTACTCTTTGTGATATTTTAAGCAATTAAAAAAAATTAAAAAAATTACAGATGGTCCTGGCTCCATTGCTAGAAATCCTAATTCAGTTAGTTCAGGAAATGACATAAGCTTTGGTATTTTTGTTTATTTATTTTTAAAGAATAGTTTATTGATTTTTAGGGAGAGAGAGAGAAACATCAATGTGAGAATGCAGCATCGATCAGCTGCCTCCTGCATGCCCCCACCAGGGATTGAGCCAGCAACCTAAACATGTGCCCTGACTGGGAATTGAACTGGCAACCCTTTGGTGCACTGAACGATGCCCAACCAACTGAGCCATGCTGGCCAGGGCTGGGCCTTTGTATATTTAAAAAACTCTAGGAAATTCTAATGTGTAGCCAGGGTTGAGAAGCACTGATTGAGTCTAAGCCACTAAGTTAATCAACCATAAAACAGGATGAGGAAAGGAGTGGAATTGGGGAATAGGGAGGTAAGTCTGCTTGATCAGAGTAGTTGGTACAGTGTTATTTAGCACAGACTTTTACCGGGTTGAGCTACTTTATCATCATTTATGTCACACAACATCATAGATTAGCGAAAGAAAAATAATATTGGAAATTTAAAAAATTGAAGATATCATATAATATGATTTTTCTCTGATCTCAATTCAAAAGTATAAGCCAATCCGGTAATAACCACCCAAACATTGGCAGTTACAGCTGTAAGCATTTTTCTCTCAGACCTTCCCTTGTCCACATCCCTGTGACATAGCCATATTGATTTTACCCCTTTGCCATACTACCCATTGCATTTTCCATGCATTAAGTTTTAGAAAACAGAATAAACATGAAAGAAGGAAAATTTTATTGTATTATTTAAACATAGCTCAGTACCTCTAGGGCTTCTTACTGCTTGTGTGTTATTTGCTGTAGTTCCAGTAGGATATGGAAATGAGAAGATAATTCAAGTGCTCGCCATGAAAAAAGAAACCAGAAAACCTTCAGCTCACCCAGCCATGTTCCAAGAGCCAGATGAGCCAATCTGGTTCTCCATGGCCAAGAAGAAAGCCAAAGCATGGAGCCATATAACAGAAACCATGCAATAAATAGCTCCTGGGTGGAGCATCAGCATTTCAAATGATAATTGCCAAGAGCTTTATTAATGCTATGCACTGAATTATTTAGATATGTAACCATTTTCTAATAAGCAAAAAAGCCTTAAAATGGGAATTAAAGCTAATAATTATGTGAGTGAGACAAATGCCACAAATGCCTAATGTTTAGTTCAGTCACTGCCAGCATCTGAAAACCCAGCATTTCCTCTATAAAAACTATGTAAAATGTTTGCAGTACTATAGAATTTTGAAATCTTTAACGTTGGACAATGTGTTTTAGAAGGACAAAAGCAAAAACATTTTGTTGGAGCAACTAAGATAGGGGTCATTTCCCTTAATCAAATAAATTAATTCTAGTGGAAATGTCCAGATCATTTGGCCCAAGGATTGGCTTTTAGGTTTATGAGCCTAGTTAAGTGCTTTAGTTTTTGGTTGCTGCTCCAAGCTTTACCAAGGCCCCTAGAAGAGGTGGTGGAAATGAAAATCCTGGGTCTCCAAGAAAAATTTTGCACAGTCCATCCCTCAGTCAGCCCATTGCACTTTAAAACACCTTCTTTGTATACCTGGGAAATCTCAATGCCTGCAATTTATTCAGAGCTCTCTCTTTACACATTCACTATATCAATCTGTCACAGGTCTGGCAGCAGTGAGTACCTTCCTGTGAGGCAGAATATTTCTTGGAGATTATCATGCTCCTCTGGAGGGTTAGTTCACCAGTCTTTGACTGCTTTCCCCAATGCCACTGCGACCCTCTCCAGTTGCTCAGAAGTGTACTAGATATCATATATATCCTGTTTGTTGTTGTTAATCCTCAACCAAAGATATTTTCCATTGATTTTTTTAGAGAACGTGAAAGGGGTGGGGGAGAAAGAGAGAAACATCAATCTGAGAGAGACACATTGGCAGTTGCCTCCTGCATACGCCCCTACCAGACCAGGGATGGAGCCTGCAACCGAGGTACATGCCCTTGACTGGAATCCAGTCTGAGACCCTTCATTCCATGGGCAGACACTCTATCCTCTAGGCCAAACTGGCTAGGGCCATATCCTATTTTATAAGCACTGAAGACCCTGTTGAAATTCAAAATTCTGTAGATGCCAAAACATATACTTTTAGTCAAAATACCTTCCATGAAGGAAGTCTGAGGCCACTGGAGAGATGCCTTACCCCCTGGCTCCAGATTTAAGGTGAAGACCCCTGCATAGCCTAGTTTCTTTTCCCTTTCCCTCAGAAAACTCTGTTTCACAAGATTTTAGCCCAAAGCAAGACTGCCATAGAACAGTTAAATTTCTGGTAACTGGAAGCCTTGAGTGATTAAATCAGCCTCTTCCTGCCCTCTTTCCTGAAGACACACACCTCAGAAGTTTGACAGCCCTCACCTCCTCAGTGAGTGACTCACCCTTCCCTCCTATTCCATTCTCCAAATACACCAAACACTAAGTGGGGGGGCTCCATTTGGATGCCTGCACAGCATCTAGCTCATTTTCTTAGGAGACCCAGAAGTGTCTTATTATAACTTTCACTGTGTCTGCCTCTACCACCTCGGGGCTACTTTGTTTAAACAGAAATGCAGGGATAGATACACCTGCACCTTTAAGTTCTGAGTGGGATGTTGCTTCATGGAAAAGAAATTCAGATGGGCAGTGAGATGCTAGAGCTAATTTAAATGCTTTCAGTGCTTGGTTTTGCTGATGGTATAGTGTGACATTGTATAATCATATGCTGGATTTTGCATTTTCTCTATAAAACTATTTTTCCTGGTATTGTATCTTTACCCTTTTGATACTGTTAGGTTTTTGATTGATTTGGTTTGATTTCCTTTGTATTCCCATAGTGAATAGTTCATTAAAATAGATACACTTTACCCAGGTAATCATGTAGATAAATTGCTATACCTCCCTTCCCCCTTTTCTCAGGGTGGACCACTATTAGGTTATTCTCACTCTAAGAACACTCCATTAACAATTTCTTTTCCACAGGTAATAACAAAACTCTGTTTTAAAGTAGATGTTAAGTTTTTTTAATGCCTGTAGGCACATTTTGACAAGTTTTCAGTTTTTAGCATTCTTGATTTTGGCTATATGCAAAGCAAATAAAAATAAATAAAGCTTGTTCTGTAGTTGTCTCTGCCTGTCACATGGGGAGGGAAATCAAGTAGAATATTGACTGTTCAGACCAGAGGGTTATCAGAGAAGCAGAATTATCTTAAGAAGTTGTGTATGGCATAACCAAGTTGTGCCTGACCAAGCTGATGGCCTCCAGTTGGGTATTTGTACAGGGGAGGGTGGTATTGAAGAAGAGGTGCTCATCTGTGTAAACACCTGGGGAGCAAAGAGACCAGTAGGAGAAAGAATACTGATGGGGATGAGTGTGTATGTGGGGGAGGGGGCAAGATGGTGGTACTCCAGCCTGCCCAAGGGACTGGGTCCAAGTCCTAAAGTAATATGGGCTATTGGAACAAGCCACTATCAAAAGGAAAGGGCCCTGCTGTGCTTAGGTAACAACTTGTAACATGGAGTAATCAAGGGAAAGGGGTGATAGAGCAGATATTTAACCTGGCCCTTCTGGAGCATTTGTAAAATTTTGGGGGTTCAGAAAAAGAGTTCAATTAGGGATCCACATATCCATATGTATGAAAATATTTAAAATAACAAGTAAACCATTAAGTAAAGTAAGTTGTATCTTCTTTATGACAGATGTACCTTCATAACCCCTGAAAAGCCAGGCTGGGATTTAGAATTCTGACTCCTGTAAGTCCTGCTCCAATGGTGTAGGAAGAGCTGCCCCCCTTCCCAATCACCTAGACCAGACCCATCCCCAGTTCTGGGCATATACGACCACCCCCTAGGCCTGGGAGCACAGATCCCAGCAATGTAGTCAGCCCTTCCAAGGACAGCCCCAAGAGAAGCACACAGGCCCTGGCAGCAGACTTGGGACTGTAAAGGGGTGTCAGGTACCTGAAACATGGGCTAGCAGGGGCACACCCCTTGTTCCAGGGGCTGGGCTCCTGGCCCTGTAGGGAGGGGCATGGTTGGAAGAGGGCGAAAGTGGGGACTCTAAAGCACGGAGCTCAGGACAGAAATTCCTCTTGCCTGGGTCTATTCCTCTTGCCATGGTATTATGTTTGTATCCTTCATGGTATTATGTTTGTATCCTTCTGGAACCAGCTTTCCCCCCTTATGCATTTTTTTGCTGCCAAGACTATACTACCAGCTTACTAGTATACAATGTAAGCACTGAAAAATCAAAAACAATTTGAAGGTGCTCAAATCACACTACATGGAAAAAATGTCTACTGGCCTGCCCTTTCATTTTAGGTAATGATGACAAGGAGCCTGTGCCTCTCTGTTTCACCATGTGGTTCCAGCCATAAGGAATACATAATACATTTTTAAACATCGACACACACAAAAAGTAATTGTGGGCATGTGAAGTTTGCTTCGCTTTAACAGGCATTAGTAGAACACCTACTAAGTAAAAAGCTCAGTAGCCTTTGGAAAAGAAAGATAACCCCTTTTATAGTCCCAACCATTCAGAAGTTCACAGTCCAGGTGATTAGGGGTTGGGGGGTAGGGGAAGTAGACACACACACACACACACACACACACACACAATGCACAAATAAATACTAGGACATGAATGTTCGTATTGGCACTATTCGTAATAGCCAAAAGTAGAAACAGCACAAATGACATCAACAGAAGAATGGATAAACAGATTGAGGTACATGCATAAAATAGAATATTATTAAGCTGTAAAAAGGAATGAAGTACAAACACATGCTACAATGTGGATGAATCTTGAAAACATTATGCTAAGTGAAAGAAGCCAGACACAAAAGGTCGGCTATATGATTTTATTTATATAATATGTCCAATAATAGGTAAATTCATGGAGGTGGAAAACAGATTGATGGTTGCCAGGGGCTGGGGGGCTGGGGAGATGGAGAATGACTAATGGGAACAGGGTTTTGGAGTGATGAAAATATTTTGGAACTAAAGAGTTGATGGATGCACAAAATTGTGATTGTCACTGAATTGCTCACTTTTAAATGGTTAGTTTTATGTAAATTTCACCTCAATTAAAGAATGACAATATAAGCTAGAATATGAGATGTGCTACCATAGAATATAAGAGAAGGTATCAGTGCAATCAAGAAAGCACTTAGGAAACCTTAACTAAATGCCAAAATGAGGCTGTCTAGTTTCAACCTCAAGAGCCCTGCCCCTCCTCTGATGCTTTGGTCAAATAGGACTCCACCTTTTCCCCCTTTAGACAGAGTCCACAGATTAAACACATTCTCTCCCTTCCCTCTTTTTATTTTGCTCATTTTTATTAGGAAATATCTCAGACTTACCCAAAGATATAGGGAATAATACTATCAACATCTATGTATGTACCACCAGCTTTAGATATGTAACATTACATTTCTTAAGTTGAAGCCCACTGTTGAAGCCTCCTCAATAAGATCCCCTTCCCTTTCTTTCTCCAAGACATAACCATCATCCTAAATGAAGTGTTTTATCTTTCCCACACATGCTGTTGCACTTGCCACATTGGTACACAGCTCCCATGAGCATGCTTTTTACTCCAGATACTTGTATCCACAATCAATGTATGGTGATCAGTTTGCATGTTTTTAGACTTCATGTACATGGTATTATGTTTGTATCCTTCTGGAACCAGCTTTCCCCCCTTATGCATTTTTCTGCTGCCACCACCCACTCTCAGCCCCCCTATCTCTCAGCCCCTGTGAATTCTGGTCTCCACAGTCCAGCCCTTGCCATCCTGTTCAGTTTACCTGCAACAGTTCCAAGCCAGTGAGTTAAGGCTGGTCCTACCTTGGGTGAGTCTCAGCCTCTTCCCCTGTGGCTTTAATAGTGCTTCTCATACCTTTAAACGACTGCTTCTCAAGCCTGCACTGCATCAGAATCCCCTGCAGAGCCTGCTAAACACAGGCTGCTGGGCTACCCTTGGAGTTTCTGATTGAG